ACTGGCCAGCTACACAGTCAATAATGAGAGCAGTCCTTCACTCCCCACCTCTCCTCCCTCCCTTACTTTAGTTTCTGTTTCCATGCAGGCAAACCCAGCTTGAGCTTCAAAACTCAAAACATTTTGAAATTTTCTGAATGTTTCAACTTGCCTTGTTTTGTTTCGAAGCTTTGTGTTTCATTTTGATTTTGCTGTTTTGAACTTGACACGAGTCAAAAGAGCGTTGAAATGAAACTGCCAGTGAAATTTCACACAGCCCTAGTGGATAATGCCTTACCTATGGCAGAGTGGTTAGAACACGGTGCTGGGAAGTAGGAAACATGTAAGTTCTGGCTGCGTTTAAACCAGGCCTCCCAGTTCCTGGATGAGTGCCCTAACTTCTCGGCTATTGGGATAAAACATGGATGGTGCACTCTGCTTCTCTGGCATCTAACACTTAGCCATGCATTTGTGTCTGCAAACAATTTCAGGGCTTGTACTCACTGAGGTATGTGTATGTATAGGGTCATGTACCTGTAGTGCCAGAGTGCAGGCTACTGCTTGTGCTCAATAGCTGCTTGAGCACTGACACTGACACTGCATGTGGAATAGCATTGCAATCTGGGCAGGGGTGCCAAAGTTAGTGTTATTTGGGTGCATAAAGTGAAACTGGATCCTGCCCCTTGTCTCTTAGAGTTTAAGGAATATTGTTTGCTTTCTGATTTTCACAGCATCTTGGCTGCAGTTGGGCTTTTTAAAATTTTATTCTAATTTAGGAAGAGGATATTTTGAGCCCATGAACACTAGCCTAGTGCAAGAAGACTATTGATATAATTAGTTGCCTTTCATTCACTGGGAAGATGACTTGGAATATGTACCACCATTTCACTCAACCTCTCTGTTCTACTGGTCTGACCCAAGTGTAACAAAGAGCAGAAGGCTCCTGTTACACTTGGGTGAAAGAGCAGCATGAAAAGCCTCAGGCAGGGAAACCTGCTCATTATGAGCTGTCAGGAATCAGGGATTTACCTGCTACAAATACTGCCTAACCAGCTGTGCTACAGTAGCATGCTGGGCTATAGCCCTGCAGGGGAGACAAGGTATCAGTATAGCAGAGGCCAGAAGCAGTAAGTCACCCTAGGGTTGAGCCAGCAAGTTAAATCAGGAAACACCTGCAACAGCTCAGGGAGTCCCCTGACCAAAAGGAGGCCAGGCCAAGGAGATGTATAAACATAGGCCCTGAGTCAGAAGAGGCAGTCTGGCCCTCCAGGCAAGAGCTCCAGAGCAGGAGCAATGCAGGAGGGCTCTTAGCTGTCACTGGGGCTATCCTGAAGAAGGCAAGCAGAATGCTATTGCCCTACAGAGGGATACTACCCAGGGGAGGCCTTGTTTTGCAGGCAGGTGGCCATTGTTTATGTTCAAACCAAGAACGGGTTTAGTTTGTGTTGTAGCCAGTTTCAACCAGTGGGCGTTGCTGAAAGGGGAGTGTGTGGGGGCCACAGCCAGGCATCTGAGGGGCACATGGTGGTTTTATCTACAGCAAGGTCCTTGGGTCATGTCAATGTTTAGGGCCTTGCTAGGGGCCTTCATTCAGGGCATATCTGAGGCCTGAGGGGGCAGTTGGAGCCTAGAGACAGAAAGTGAGAAAGGCTGAAGCCCAACTTGGGCAGGAGCCGGACAATGGCCAGGGGACCTAGTGCCCAGGAAGAGCAGAGCCAGTGCCAGGGGGTCCTGTGCACGAAAGGACAGAGACAAGGGTCAGGGGACCAGGAACACAAGCAGGCTCAGCAAGTGTATTTCCCAGGACAGGGCAAAGACAAAGCCAAATTAGGCAGTCAAGGGCTGGAATCCAGAAGCCAGGCTGGGCACAGTGGGCATAAGTTAAGGAAACCAGCGAGAGAAAAGGGGCTGAGGCTGGGAAGGGTGAAGCTCTGATCAAGGTGTAAAGGTCTGAGGTGTCCTGGTATCAGACTGGGGTTCAGTACCCACCAGAATTATTAAGTGACAACACCTGTGAGGCATGGTCATGGTTGTAGGTGACCATGACCTCTAGTTGGAGGCCATGATTTGCCCTTCAGGCTAACAGGTACCCTGGGGGTGGGCACTGACAGGCCATCGGGACCCACCTAACAAGGGCAGGGTAGAGACCAACAGGAGCCAGGAAGGACTAGCTGGCATCTGGGGCCTGCTCTAGGACCCATTAGGCAGCCTCCCTTCCAATCAATTACATCAAGGCATGGCAGGAAAGTAAGAAGGGGAAGGCACTATAGAGCTGGAGAAGGGTCTCATGGCCATGAGGGGGCTTCACAGCCACCCCTGGAGCACAAACCTGGTTACACCAATGTTGAGATTTTCAGGACAACAGATTTTCAGACGAGCAATCTACAAGTTAGGTGGTACCATTTAAATTTCTCATGCTTTTGCACACTTCAGAGACCAATAGGAGACATGATTTTCTACAGCAGAGAACTTAAAGTCCTTGCTTACACTAGTGTAACCATCAACTTCAACTGAGTTACTCCTAAATTACACAAATGCTGTACAAGTGAAAAGCTAAGTTATAGGGAAGTATTGGGAGAATATGGGGGAGCAATAAGAATGGGTGGAAATGGGCTAGAGAAAGAGAAGAAAGAGGCAAATAGGTGGAGAAGAGAATCTGGAGGACAAAAGTGGATGGTATGGTGGAGTAAGGCAAATATAGGGCAATAGATTTCCTTGTCTTCAGCTGTTACTAATCTGACCTTCACATTAAGATCACTTAAAATTCTAGGTCTGTTTCTGTCTTTCCCTGTCAATCTGTTGTGTTGAGGGACTGCAAACACAGCTACAGTCAAGAAATGTAATGTGAATAAAATATTCCGTTTCAACCTTTCATATTTTTGTTTCTCCCTGTTTCCTGGAACAGAAGATCCATTTAGTGAGTACTGGAGAAGGCCCAGTTATCTATGTGTATCCCGCTCAGATAGATTTTGGCAACATCCAGGTTTTAAAGGATATTTCCAGGACACTCCACCTCTCTAATCAGACTGTTATTCCTGCACGGTTTGGGGCACAGATGGTAAGTGTGCTGTAGGACTATTTTGAAATGAAAATGTGACTTGGAATGTTTTGATTGTGACAGCCTGTGACCCGATTTTATATGTGTACTCTCAAAATTATCTCAGTGAAAACAAAATGTGCATGACTATACACCAAGAAAATGGCTCTTGTTCTGCTCTCTCTTGTACCTGGGCAACCCCCATTAATGTCACAGAGGATGTAAGAGCAGAATTGGGCCATTGCCCATCTTTACAATCATGCTTTTGATGTAGCTCAGGGAGTTTAGCTGTGCTACGTGTGTGTATGTACCTATATGATGGAGTCAGAGGACATCTTATCTCTTTGTTCCTAAAAACGTTGTCCACATAGATTCTCTCGTTGGGGCCATACACATGACTTCTGGCTTGTGCTCCAACTTTGCTCACAAAGCTTTAGCTACATGGGACATGAAAGGCCTGCCACATATTAATGATGGGAAGATGAGCTGGGTGTATACTGATTCTACATGTACTGAGGGTCTTGTCATCTGGGTCACTGAATAGAAGCTACTTTGTGTTTAAACATTAAACTATAAAAACAGTGAACAACGAAGAACTTGATACAGGATCTGTGTATTTTGTAGTGGCCCAAAGGAGGGCCACACAAATGATTAGAGGTTATACAAGGAGAGGCTGAAGGACATGGGACTGTTCAGCCTGGAGAAGAGAAGACTTAGTGGCAGCTAAGTATACATTTGGGGCTAGGAGAACATCTGTTCACCAAGGCACCCCAGGGGAAGACTAGGAATAATGGTTATAACCTGATAGAAGATGGCTTCAAATTAGACATGAGCCATAAAGCAGTTTTTCCTTATGTGTCCAGAGTCTGGAACAGGCTCCCCCCAGAGATGGTACCGTCACCTTCCCTGGAGATCTTCAAAAGACAACTGGATGCACACCTCACTGGGATCATCTGACCTCAGTAGTCTTTCCTGCCTTAGAGCAGGCGAGCTGGACCTGATGATCTTGTGAGGTCCCTTCCAGCCCCTAACTTCTGTGAATCTAGTATCCCACAGTATCTCCATGTCTTCGGGCAATATCATCAGAAAAAGACAGTCACATTGATTAGGAACTTATTGGCCTGACAGCCTGTGCAGGTATTGCCATGGCCTAGAGTCAAGTGCCTGTCAGGAGTAGGTATGACCCAGCCAGCATGGGATCACATGGTGTTCGAGATTTGTTCCCCTGTGGTCATTGGATGTTAATATTCACTTTGACTCCAGGGACAAGTTATTACATAGTACGTTCCTATTTCTTTCCTATCTCCCAGTGTCACTCAAAGTTTTTTCTTCATCACTTCTGTTGATGAGACATATTTTATCATTGCTGATTGTCAGAGGAAATATATTTCTGGAACTTCCTCATATTTCAGACCCCAGATGATAACCAAAGATGTTCATGGCTGAGTACTGAAGGACCAGCCATTCCTCCCATGAATAGGACACTGTCTGTGCTATTCATGTATCTCCTCGGCAAATGCAGGATAGTAGATTGGCAGCTGCTTGGGAAGCCAAAGGCAAGATTAGATTTCATAGACATTAGGGGCTGGAAGGGACCTCATGAGATCATCAGGTCCAGCCCCCACCCCACCATAGGCAGGAAATCAGCTGGGATCAAGTGACCCCAGCAAGAAATAAATCCAGCTGTTTTTTGAAGGAATCCAAAGTAGGTGGTTGCACCACCTCTGGGGGAGAGTTTGTTTCAGACCCTGGACACACACACCATAAAGAACTTTTTTCTAATATCCAGCCTAAATTGGCCTTCCTGGAGTTTATGGGCATTAGACCTTGTTATCCCTTGGGGAGCTCTGGTGAACAGATGCTCTCCCAGGTCCTGATGTACCCCTCCTATGAAGTTGCAGGCTACCACCAAGTCCCCCCTGAGCCCTCTCTTCTCCAGACTGAAGAGTCCCAAGTCCAGACTAGATGTGGCCTGAGGAGTTTGATAGAGCCTAACTAGACCCAGACACTATCTGTGCAGTTATATCCAACTGGGTTTGGGCAGACATTCATATACTCTAAAATAATTACATTAATATTTCAATCTAATGTAAAAATATACCAGGATCAGGAATGGATTGTGCAGCTGCCCTGAAGTGGTATGTGCTACTACACGGTTTCAATTGTATGTGGTGAGCTAGGTTACCCTAGGATTGGATCAGACAGCTGAAACCTGACCTTGTATCAGTAAAGAATAACACCTGATTCTTTCAGGGCTAATTCTTCTCTGGACTGGGTAAAGTTACCTCAGTTTAGAGATGTCTTCCATCTGTCTGCTACTTTGTTAAATGGGTAGTATGCTGATTACATTGATGTGTTTTGTCTGTCCACACCATGTGCAAAACTAAAGCCTCATCAAGCATGTTTAAAAGGGTTAAAGGAGGGGAAATTCAGTTCCAGAGTCTCCATCCTCTGCACTTTCTGGCTTTTACCTGTCTCTTCCAGGTTCCTATAACTGGTTAGGGATTGACAGCCCTCTAAGCAGTTCATTTTCTGTGTTATTACCCATGTCGCCTTTTTGCTATCTGTAGAAACATGGGTCAAAACCAGGTGCCAGATTCTAAAGCTAGTGCTGGCTGGGCTCACAGTGCTCCTGCGTCAAGCTCTCCAGTGACTTGCTGCCCTGATTTATAAGGTCCAATTCATAGCAATCCCTACAGCTATTGTGAAGAATCAATAAGAGCAATAAAATTGGGTGATTAGCAATGGTCTTTTTGCCCTGCATGGATGGCATGCTTTGCTAATGCACAGCCCTCATGTTTGAGCTCTATGATTCTTTGTATCAAGACTGTCCTAGAACCTCTAAGAGGAACTTGGCGTTTATTAGTAGATGTTTAGGATTGTGAATCCAAAAAAGATGACAAAGCTGGTAGGGAAATACAGATCGCCTGAGCGAGGGACTAACAATAGAGGGATGGGGGTGAGGAGGGGAACACAACTAGGTTACAGGAGATACA